TCTTTCCTAGATATATTTCTAGGGGCAGCTGTTCTTCTATTATCCTTCTTGGGTAGCTAGTCCATCCACTCTCTCGTGATGAAGGGGCACATTGTAGTTAATACAGGTCTTTGTGTATTTACCACTGCCAAGACTAGAAGAGGCTTTTATGGTCATTTTTCTGGCTTCTGGTACGAGACAGATTGATTGCAGCATGCCAGCGAGCCAACACCTTTTGCAGCAGTAGTAACGTCACTGAATTTACTAGAACAAAGTAAAAGTTAGGTCCTAAATCTAAGGCCATTATAGATGATGGAAATCATCAGCAAGACTGAAATGCACCATCTGCAAGAATAACTGATGGGATGCTGCCATCTGCTCCAGCCTCAGTTGTTGCTGTGAACCACAGGCTGCTTGGTCTGAGGGGGATTATGTTCCTTCAGAGCAGAAATAAAGGGTGTTTTTTGTCAGGTTTGGCTGTTGACACATGCTTACAGCTGAAAAAGAAGAAAATTCATCTGAGAGAGAACACCTGGGGGCTAAAGGTTTAATGGCATGAAGCTGTGTTGGGCTGGGGGGTTTAGGTTGGATATTGGGAAAAGGCCCTTTTCCCAAGGGCTTTTGGGACACTGGGATGGGCTCAGCAGGGAAGTGGTCACAGCTTCAAGTCTGTCTGAGCTGAAGGATTGTTTGGACCTCGCGTTTAGGCTCAGGGTGTGATTATTGGGGCTGTCCTATTCAGGGACAGGAGGTGAATCTTTGTGGGTCCTTTCCACCTTAGAATATTCTATGATTCTGTGTGGCATTACGGACATTGCAGGGGAAATGTGTCCCTTCAAATAATCAGGTGAGGACTATTCTGCATGATTCACGGTTTGAAAATGTCCATTTACTCTTCTTGAGAGAAGGATGAAAAAGTTTGTGCAGACAACTTTTTCAGTCTCAGTAGCATGTGTATGTGTGTGTGTGTGACTATTTCTGGAAGATTTCCATTGTGTACAGGCAGCTCAGGGCTCTCAGTTAGCTCTGAGGCACTGAGTCAGCATCCCTGCCAAACCCTTGGCTAAAGCTCTATTTTGAGTTATTGATCTTCATATTTCCACCACTTGATTCAAGCTGGAGTTTTTCCTTTCTTGGCCCTATGTAAGGCAGAAGTGAGGAGGAGGCAGGATGTCCTTCATCAACCAAATGCCTGAAACTCTACGTGAGAATTGGCGGTTCCTTGGCATTTCATAGTGCGGGGCAACGCCTGCTGAGACATTTACATCTTGCTAGGGCTGACTTTGCTTCTTCCTTGCTCCAGCTACTGCCCACAATTCCTCCTGCTTTGTAAAAAGCTGCAGTAAAGGGGAATGTGCCATCAGGAAGCGCTCAGCTGCCATCCAGGGCAACCCAGGTGGAGCCCAGTCCTGCAGGCCAGGGTGCAAGCTCAGGAGAGCTCCCAGGAGTGAAGTTACCCTTCCCCAAACTGCCCCTCCATATATTACCTATCTGACACTCCAGTTAAAATCACATTTGCTCTTCTCCTCACACACTGTGCCTCATCAAAGGCCTGGTGAGAGATTTAGAGGTGTGAAGGTCTTGGGTGATGCTCAGTGCAGGATGTCTGACTCACATGCAAATACCACTTATTATAACCAAAGTTTCATACCAGACAAGATGGTACAAACTATCGGGTGGGCTCCAAATCTACTTTTTGTAGTCTTCCTTTTCTAGTAGATCAAATAACAGTATTTTTTATAATAAAAATATTTTTTCCTTTAAAATTTTTTTTTAAATAAGCCTCAGGCATGAATGTTTGTTGGCTCATCACTAAGCTGAGAACTTAGACCTGGAAACAGCTGCCTATTGTCTCTTGAGATGTTGCCTTCAGATGTGGGGGACTCTGCCACCTTTACAAGGAAATGTGAGTGTGATAGTTACATTCCCTGTGAGGAAACTGTGTGCTGTCTTACAAAGAGCAGAAGTGTAAAGGAAAGAGCAAGCCACAAAAGCAAATGTGCGAGTGCAGCACTTTGTGGCTTCTGCAGTGGAAAGAATGCCTCAGAGAGAGAGCAAAGATGTGCAAAGACACAGCACATTGTCGTGGCTGTGCTCACTCCTCTGCTCTCCTGTGTGTCAGAAGATGGGGATGCGTAGCAATGCAATGGGCTAAACAGGACTCCAGCATCCTTAGCCTAAGGACAGGCCTAACTGAACCAGGCCTAGCAGAGCTGTGCTGGGAGACATCTACTTTTCTATCGTTGCCCATTTTGTATTTGGCTTTGTTTAATCCAGTGGTGTTACTTCCTGTGTGAGGAGAGAGGGTGTCTGCAGTGAGAAGAGTGTGAGAGCTCTGTTATCTCTGTTATCTACAGCTGTTATCTACAGCTCACCTTGTCCTGCCCAGCACAGATTTGGTCACTGTCTGGGCTGTGGCCACGCACAGCTCCAGCCACAGCTCTCTCTCCACCTTGGAGAGCATTTCTGCCTGGTGCAGGGGTTGCTCTGCCAGTGCTCTCTGCTCTAGCTGTTCTCAGGGTGTTTATCCCATGCCACATCTCTGAAGGTACCTGCTGGCTTGAGGGTTCCTCTGTGGCAGCAGCCAGAGCTGCTGTGCTTTCCAGAGACACCTTCAGGCTCCTTCTCCTCAATGCCTTCTCCTGGGGCTCTCCTTGAAGGCAAAACAGAGACGTCAGTGCAACAACTTAGAGTGCTTCCTTCCACGTAACATCCAAAAAATTCTTCTTCTAAAATGGGGATCAAAGCCCAGTCAGGACTGCAGCAGGACGTTGCCTTGCTTTTCAAGAGAGGAAGGGTAAAGCTGGCAGAATATTGACATTTCCCCACTTGTCATCTGGCAGGAAGACTGAGCTTAGAGACATGGGCTGCTTTGTTTTTCCCAGCTGGGTCTGATGCTGCAGGAGGTTTCAGAGGCTGGTTAGAAAAGGGGCTGCTTTTGGGACAGGCCATGCACGTGCCAGGACCTCATGGGGAGTTCTTGCTGCAGGTGAGTGATTGCCCCCTTTGCAGGTTTGGCTGTGCTTTTGGCTTTTTTTGCTCATCTTGCAAGTGGATTTTGTGCACGTGCACCAAGTGCTCAGGAATACCAAGGCCCAGTGTCACTTCTGTGATGCCCAGTGACCACGGGGCACCAGCCACTGAGCCCTCAACCCTTCTCTCAAGTGCTTCTTCACTGCTCACAGTAAGCTCATTTTTGAACAGACATTTTATATCCTTTAGGAACGGGTTCTTGCTCCTGCCTACCCGTTGCTCCAAGAACACCCAGGATGTTTGGTGAGCTGGTTTGCTGGACCATGGGGACTTTTGGTCTGACCCATTTACAAGTGAGTTTAGAAGATTGAGTTTAGAAGATTGTGTGTGGCATGTGGGCACGCCAAACTGATTAACTGGAAGTAGTGGCCTTCATTATGAATAAAGGGAATTCTTTTACACCTGGTTCTACCACTATGGAGCTTCACCTGTCTGCTCTCTCTCACATACACACACACATCTTTCCCTTTGCATTTCATTTGTACCATGGACAATTCCCATCCCAGTGTGTTGGCAGGGATGCCAACAAACAGACAGGGGTACCCTGGAAGCAGGCAGGGGTTTTGAGGGATGTTTCCCTGAAGAAGAAGGGAGACAAAGTTGAGCAGAGCATGGACAGCATGCTGGGCCTCCCTCTGCTCTGCTTGATGGACGCAGCAAAAAACCTTCAAAAAACAGAGGAGAAATCAGGGTTGCTGCCTTTGCCCAAATTTCTTTAGGTGCTCGTGCTGGAAGCAGATGTGTCCAGGAGTTTGACACAGCTTGACTGGCTGAGGAGGTACCTGAGCGTGCCAGCCCCTGCCCTCAGCTTGTTTCTTGCCACAGAGGGTGGAGGTCAGGCACAGAAATGCGATCTTGCTGCTGTTGCTTCCTCTCTCCTTTTGTGTGTGCTTCCTTTGTGTGTTCTTTGGAAGGAAACAATAGCAGAAAGAAGGAAGAAAAACTAGGTTTTCCTGCAAGGAGTGTTTTTTTATCTCATTAATACCAGTAAAAAATTATTAAGCTGGAGAAGGGGACGTGTCTTACAAGGAAGATCTAACCTCAAGGAAGAGGAATGACATGAACAAACAAGAAAGATTTATCTACTCTTGTACATTTCTAGTGCCACAGATTTTCTTCTGTCTTCTTTCTTGGCCTATGTCTGTGACAAAAAGCTGGAAGATTTCAGTGGCTACTGAAGCAGAGGAATTATGGTGGTGAGGGTAAGACTCAAAATCCTCACCACTCCATCTGTGTCATTGGAATCAGAGATAAAGACTTTGTTAGCTTCTCACGTGTTTTTGGACCTAGCTCCTCACAGCTTCTTTCCTTGCTGTCTTTCCCACACCAGCCAGCTTCAGGGCTGGTTTGTAGCTGGATCAAGACAGTGTTCCATTCCATGCTTATCCCTCTCACAGCTTGCTGGAGTGGCTGGCCCTGCCTGCAGGAAGCGTTTGTGGCTCTGGCCAGCCCCTCCACACCAGATGTTGATGCCAAGCTGATCCTGCTGCTTTCCAAGGCAAGTGTGCCGCCTTTCCAAGCGTTGTCCAGGAGCCACCTGCTCCTCACTGGGGGTCCTGGGCTTGCTCTCCCCTTGCTGCTGCTGAAGCTGTGGGGGAGAATTAGGATTCCCATCGCTCCCCTACCCAAAAACTGCATCCCTCCCGCTAGGATGGTGGCGTGTGGATGCTGGAGCTGAGCTCTTCAGGTGAGCGTTGAGGAGGACGAGGGCCCCACCTGGCCCTCCAGCTGGGTGGACAAGCCTCCAGGGCATTCCTGCATTTTAGTGCCCATTTTCTTTGTGTCTCCATGTTGCCTCCATGCAGACACAACGCCCTGTTGAGGCTTGTTTCCGCCTCTGCTAGAAATGAGAAGTGCTGGAGGAGAGGAGGAGGGCACAAAGGCTGCGCCCACATGTCCCATCACTGCTTGTTCACAGCAGAAAACCCTCTCACCTGCCAGGAGCTACCACTAGACAAGGCAACACTGGGTGTTTTTTGACCCTGAAAATGAACTTTAGGAGGATTTTCCTAGTCAAGTGCTTGCTGCTTTTATTTCCCAGTGTAAAATGTGAGTTTTTCTTACAGTTTTTTGCTCTTTTGGGCTGATGTTAAAATTGCATTTTAAAGCATTTACAACTTGGTGGGCTGCTACTGATAAGAAAGTTGTTCCACTTTTCCAATGAGTGAAGACATCTGGGTTATTGCTATTATTATTTGATTTAATTTTCAGCCAGGGGGAGGGCAGGACCTGAGTTTCCTATTCCAGTTATAATAATAAGCTGTAAAGAGTTTTGGTTTTAAGTTAATGAGCCTTAATTTGACACATGTGTAATAAGAAATGTCAGCATACAGTTTGCTTTCTGCCCTCGAGGCAGCTTGTACTACATTAGAGATCCAGTTCACTGTGCATTATCGCATGTAATTTCCTTTTCTTATCAAAAGATGTGCAAATCTTTTGAAAGTACAATTTATATTCTTCCATAAATATTAACAGAGTGATATATTTCAGTGTCTTCAGTGGTGCTGAAGTTTAAGATGTGAAAACAGCAAGCAACTGCATATATTTTTTATATTTTCCGTATTATTGTTCTCATTATTTTTTAAAATATTAATCTAAAAACTTAATTAAGGTGTTAACTCATAGATTAGAGAAGGTTTTAAGAGATGGAGACAATACGAGCCTGCATAATTTTTCCCCCTCTGTTTCATTCCACTGAGTTGTATGTATGGCTATTTAATGCTTTGCTTTTCCTTCAGAACAAAATTAATAGATAAATAAGGATTTCTTCTTTTAATGTACACAATCTATAAAACATTTTCCCCCAGCAGAAATAAGGATTATTCCCTTGAATATAAAATTGTTTCAGAGACTTCCTTCCTTCTCTAAAATTTCTATGGGAGCTTTTTCTTTTAACTCTTTCTTGTGACTGTGAGTGAGCTGTAGGCTCTCAGTTAAAACCTTTCTGCACTTTGGGGCACATTTTAGTTGGCATTTTTATCAGAAGTGCTGCTTCATTAGCTAAACAGGTTTTTAATATCATATATGTGGGATACTCAGCTTTCCACTAGAAAGATGATGGAGATCAGATCAGTATCTAGAGATGTCTCTGGTCCAAAGAGATGCCATTGAATTATCCTTGAAAACTCAGATTAGTTTTTTTCTTTACTTTCAGAGAGAAAATATAAGTAGTGTCTGTTACGCAAAGAAATCCTATTACTAGCTCTAAATACTTGTTCATGACTGAGCAGAAACAAGTATCAGAATTCAAATATTGTGTAGTGTCATCTGTGTGGGGCATAGCTGCTTCCAAGGCTGTTTAGCTGACAGCTTTATTTCAGGACATTTCATTAGATAGATCAAATACCTTTGTAAGAAAGGCAATGCTGAAAAAACAACCTCTCTTTAGAGGTGCTGAATTGCCAGGAGCACTACAGCATTAATGTTCTTGTTGCAGAGGCATGCTATTTTAGTTCTCTGATTGTCTCTAATATTGTTAGTTTAATGAAATAGCCACTGGGTTTCAGTTTTCCCTCTGTGGTGCCATTTATCATTATCCTAGATACAAGGAATGAAGGACTGTAATAAAAATATGCATAAACACAGGTTTTTCTCTCTGTGGGGAAAAAAGTACTAAAAATACATAAAATTAGGGTAAAATCAGTGGTGACGGGAAGGGAAATCTCCTCCTGCTGATTGGCTTCACCCTGTAAATTGAGGAGGAACGAACACAAGAAAATGACAAACTAGATAAGCTGTGGCTCTGAGTGTGCCCATTCAGGTCTCAGTGAGCTCATCCCACCTGACACTTGCATGCGGATTTCTCCCTCCTCCCACAGGTTGTCCACCTGCCACGGAGGTGGGGACAGTTCCTCTCTTGAAATCACCTCCTGGCAAACTTCCCAAGTCCTGGCTCACCACAAATGGGGCTTGCAAAGGTGGTGGCTAAAGCAGCCTGGAGGGGAGCGGGCAGGGTGCTGCTCCTGGAGTGTGTCATCCCCACTGCTGGAAAAATGGTGGATGTTTAGTGAACATCCCCCTTGGCAGCCCCATGGTCAGGTGCTTCCCAGTCCTGACACCACTTTTGGGAAGCTCCTATTCTTCACTGTTCTGGAGAAGGGACCTGGAATCAAAGGAAGAGAAAAGATTTTTGGGTTTTTTATTGCTATTTTTATTGTAATGACTCCTGCAGCCCCTCAGTTCACAGGATGCTGGTAGCTGTTTCTCCCTGCCTTACTTGCCCCATGAGGATCCTATGCTAGTAAAATCAAGTGGGTGCATTCCAGTGGGGCAGAGTCACTGGGATGGGAGAGGGGAGGCACTGCTGTAGGTGCCCCTCCAGTTCAGTGCCTCACACTCACTCACGGCTTGATGTGGGCTGCTATTATTATCATCATTGCTCTCACTGGCGTTGCTGAAATGATTCTGCTGCCCAGGAATGTGACTATTTTTGCTGTTTGCAGTTCTGGGCACTCTGGATACCAGCCTGTGCCATGTGCAAAACACAGAAGTGACCTTCTTTTCAGGAAAGGCTAAGTTCATGGTAAAGTGAATGGGAGGCCATGAATCTTGGCATCCAGAGTCACTCTAAGTCAGCCAGGGTATAAATTCAGCTTTTGAAGCTGGGCTCTTAGCTTTCTTGCCTCTGAGAATTAAATTGGATGCTGGCATTTATCTAATGAACAATCAAGAATATTTTGGAACAGGGGAAGAAGATGGCATCAGTAAAGCAGAGAGGCTTAGGCAGCACAGGAAGGGGGTGGCATAGCAAATGACAATTTTTTAGGGTGACTGCTGTGTCTGCTGGAGACAACTGAGGCGCTGGCTGTGCTTCCCTCCACAGGCTCCAGCACCAGCTGGATTTACAAGGCAGTGAATGAGACAGCTCTTCTCAGCATCACTGCTCCTGGGAGCATCTTTGAGGCAACATGGAGGAGAGGGGGACAAAGGCTGGTTCAGATAAAAAAAAACATAGCCAAGCACTTTGTGAACCAGGAGCAGTGCAGGTGTGCCATACTGAGAAACGGGACTCTGCAAATCCAGCGCGTGGAGAAAGAGGACAGTGGGAACTACACGGTGATGGTTTATGAGCAGGATGGAAAACTCAAGGCAGAAGAAAATGTAATGTTCTTTGTTCAGGGTGAGTTTTTGACTTTCCCATACCATGCCCAGGACACCTGAACAAGATTTGGTGTTCTCTGCTTTCTCCCACAGCCTTTCCTACTCAGTGCCCTCCTTTCTGATTTGGAGTGGGAGGACTTCTGTAGGACATACCTTTTTCTTCCTGCCACAGACAGCAGCCTGCCTCTCTTCCTTCTCTTGCTCTGACTGATGGCCTCAAACCCCAGCTTCTTTCTGGCTCTCCTGTTTGTCAGCCAGCAGGTTTCTAGCTGTGCCCAAGACAGCAGCTGTGAGCAGGTTCACACTGACAGCAGGTGAGGGTGGTCAGCCCTACTGCAGCACCACAAACAGCGCTGGGACCCTGAGAGGGGACTGGGCTCCCAGCAGCATCCTGCTTCCAGAAACCTCTACCAGGACCACAGCAGCCTGTGGGAGGTACAGCTGTGGCTGATGCACTGTGGGTTTTGGGTATTTCTGGTGCCATTTAATGGGCACTCAGTTAAGACTTTTGTTCTCTGGCCACTGGTCCAGCAAGCTGAGCAACTGGTGTTGGCAACCCCTTGAGGAGAGCTCAGGAGTCCAGATGGCACTAAATGCCACTCCATTTTTGCTCTGACATACAAAATAGCCAGCAGTCACCTCCCCTGAGATAAACCACAATAGGAGCTGAATTTGCAGTGAAAGAAGACTCCTGCACCCTACCACTGCATAGCACAACACAACAAATATGAAGTCTGTGCTCTTTGAAGCAGAGTTAAGCACACACCTGGGGATTTCAGCTGCTTGGGTTCAAAGCCTCCATTCGTGTACTGTATCTTGTCCTAAGAGATCAGAGCAGTAGCAGCCCACAGGTTTTGGGGGGAGTAGGGATGATGGGGATGGCTATTCTGCTCCTTAATAGCTGCTGTGACCTCTCCAGACCTCTAAGCTCTAGGACAGCATGGGTTTTTTTCCCCAGAGAGGGGATAGCTTTGTTCTGTCCTTCTTCAGTCATCGTGCCTACCTTTCCTGACATCTAGAGTTTGTGGCACCAGCTGGGATTACAGAAATGATGCCTTATTGAGGCAGCAATGACAGCTGGAATGGTTTTAGCAGCGTTTCTGTGCAATGGGAGGGCCTGTGTCTGATGGGCTGCTGAGCAGTGAGGTGTCTCACTGCTTTGGGAGCTATTGCTGTAAACAGATTCAGGAAGTCAGCAGGGCCTGATGCTTCTTGCTCCTGTTTGAAGCCACTCTGCTGTCATTGGGGTACCCTCATTTCAGGTCAAGGTTAATGTTCCAGCCCAGCTGTGTGCTGCATCATTTCCTCTGCTGTGCAGCAGAGAGGTTGCATTACCTCTGACACATGGCTTTGGAAGTCCTGCACTAATTGTCAGTGCTAGAACAATTTGTCAGTCAGGCTGGCCCATTGTTACTAGGGACAAACTGTTGTTTAAAAAAAAAAAAAATTGTCCCAATGATATCCTCACTCAACTCCAGCACCTGGACTCTAATGGTTCCCACTGGAATGTTTCCCTGAATAACAGGTTCCAGTTTGCAGAGGAGGAGTGAGCTTACCAAGGAAAGGGTAGCTGCAGATGTCATGGTGTGAACCTTGACTGCATATGCTATGAGCAGTCCTTATTTGCTTTAGAATTTATTATCTCCATAAAATTTACTCAGCCTGTAACCAGAGGTGGCACTGGCATGTTTTTGTTTATCTGATCTTAAAGGTAGAAATAATTATTTTTCATTTGCTGTCCCTGCCAGTTGCCATTACTTGAGGAAAACCTTGCAGGCTTTTCCATCTCTTTCAGTGCCACCAGTGATAGAGAAACTGGAACCAAAAAGGAGGTAGTTGTTTGCAGGGCATAAGAAGAGACAGAAATATGTTTTTTTTTTTTTTCTGTCATAACCTCATTGAGAGCTGAGGTGTCTGTTTTGTGCTCTCCATTCTGGGTTGACAGCCTTCCATGCTGTGCTGTCATGCTCACTGAGTGCTGTTGGTAGCACACAGAACATCATAAGGAGCTTTTCATAGTTTTTCCTGCTTTAGAGAAAATCTCTCCTTGATGGGCACCGGCAGAACAGGATCACCTTCCCTTGCACCAAAACACAGGGTCCAGAGGTGGAGGGGGCTGTGGCTCTGAGTCCCTTCCACACACCTGAAGAAGCCTCAGCTTCCTTCCCTCCCCTGCCTGGCGTCCAGCCCTAACTATGTAGGCTACTGCTCTGCATTTTCTTTATTACTGCCTTGTTACTTCTGCAGCAGAGGTCTAATTTGCTCTTCATTCTTCTGTGATCTCATTAGCTGGTGATTTGGGGTTTATTCTCTGTTTTGCTTAATAGCAGAGGCTTTCAAGAGGAGAAACTCTCTCAGACGTGCCTGTGCCTTCCCTCCTTTTTCAGAACCTGTCCCTCAGCCAATCCTCATTGCTGAATGCAGGAATAAAAGTGTATCTGTCAAGTGTGAAGCCAGACAGAAGGCCAAGAATGAAGCAAAATACAAGCCTGAGGCTGAAGCATTTGTAATAGAACTGACTCAACCCAATGGCAAAAAAATCCAAAAGAACGCAACAATGCTGGAATGGCATGGGTGGAACTCTGGGACGTTCCGCTGTGTTGCTAAGAACCAAGTCAGCGAAAAAATGGCTGAAAAAGTAATTAACTGCTCAGGTAAGAAATCTCTTTGGTCAGAATGTGCTAGGGTGGACCACTGCAGAGGGCAGTGGGATGTGAGAGGGGTTGTGCTCCTCCCCTTCTCCTGTGGGGAAATCCGTGGTGTTTTTCTCTTCTCCATAATGTACCATGGTTTTCCCATTCAGTTAACCACAGATGCAGCAAAAGGACAGAAGGGATTGCATTTTAAATGGGAAGAGTCATGCTGAAAATGATTCAGTAGGCAAAAGAAGTCATCACAATTGTCATCCTCCCACTTAAAAATTCTGCAAGTTAAGGCACAAACAAAAGACAGATCACACTGGTATGACACTGGTGTGGTGCTCAGTCCAAAGTTCAGAATTCCAGTGCAGTGCTGGGGAAAAGTCCTTGAATTTCCCAGGCTTGGGTTCATCCCACCCATCCACAAATGCTCTGCTGGAAGCATTCCCTTACTCTAGATTCCTGCTGGAGCTGGTGGAGAGTTGAGTGGGGCTTACAAGAGCTGGCTCAGTGTTTCCAATTTTTACCTATTTCTGCCGCAGTGAATTTAGGGAAAGTCCAAGCCTGAAGGACAGCCCATGGTGTGAGAAGGGAGGGAGCAAGGCTTAAGGCATAAAGGCTTTACTGAGTTGATCCCAGGTCTGCTGATTCTGACTGATGGGCAAAGAGCTGAGGGACAGGATGGCCACTGCTCTCCTGTGCAGCTGTTGCCTCCTGGATAATCCTCCTGATTTCAAAAAGAGCCAACAATGTATTGTTTGCTGCTGCCTGCCCTGATGGACGGCACAGTCCTGTTTTTGTTATGGGGAAGGGGTGAACAGGATGTGGCATGGACTTTGGAGCCAGGTATGAAAGTGTGCTGCTGGATTAGATCTGTTTAAGACAAGGCAAATATGCCAAACACCTTGTCTGGATGAGGAAATGCTGGCCAAAGCTGCCCATGTCAGGACACAAGCCAGGCAAGCACAGATCTGCTGCCATGGGTAGACATTGGCCATCATCTAGACAATTTTGATTTCACTTTTTCTCACCCTTGAGAAATGCTCTTTTTTCACAGGGCAAATTGGGTCAGAGACTTTGGGTTTTTTCTCACATCATTAACAGAGAAATACCAATGATCTTTAAGGCACAAACACAGCATTTCTCAGACACTACATACCCCCTAAGACCATGGAGCAATCAATACTCTTCCTACCCAAACTGAATACCTCTCAAATTTTCTGTGTAGTGGCAGGACTCTGCCAGCTCCACAGTAGATTAAAAATCCCTCATCTTGCAGTCAAACCTCCCCCTAACCCTGCTGCCCTCTGTGAACACTTGGTCCTGCATTTGAGACCAATCACCTTGAATTTTGACCTTTACTGGCAAGGTACATTTCAGGGGGGTTTTAACTCAGCCAGCTTTTCGTGGAAGTGTAATTATATGCGATTCTGTCCTGGTTCCTCTTGCACTCATCTGGGAAAAACAGGCACAGAAAAAGCAAAATACACCTTGGTGTAACACTGGCTACTAAAAGAAGTGGCAATTTAAATACATGTGAGCACAGGTGAATGCTCTGGTTTCAATTTCCTGCAGAACTTGAATCCATCAGGGAGCAATCAAAATCCTCGATGAGGAACAGCAACTTTCTGCTGTACACAGGTAAAAGGCAAAGGGTGGGGTGTCTACTGGCCTGCCTTTATAGTCAATTGAAGAAAATACAGAATTCTAAGTGGATGTTGTGCAAGTCATTTCTTTCCATCTAACTTCCTCTCTCACCCCCTTAACTAGGCAAGATGGACTTTTATCTCATCTTAAGCATAGCAGGAGGTGCAGTCTTCTTTGTCATCTTTGTGATTTGTCTTATTTATTGTATCAGAAGGAGGAAAACAAAAAGGAATGAAATTTATGGTAAGTGTTTAAGAAGCTTTATTTTGCTATCCAGCAATGTAAAATATTAGAGCTTCCCACTGACAGGAGCCCTGTGGTCAGGAGCATTTTCTCTGCCCTGACATGAGAAATAACCTGGTTTTAGCATATGGTGATTCTGTGTAGATCAGCTGGCATTGCCAGTCTCACTTTCTGATATGTGCTTTGAGAAAGCCACCTGATTATTATTTTACACTGTGGCTGTTCTCTTTTGAGTGGTACAGATCACTGCCTCAGCTGTGCAGTGACACCATATCCTCAGTTCTTGGGCCTGGATTCAGCAGGAATTAAGAAAATGAGTCTGAGAAAATGAAAACTAATATTTTAGTGATTATTTTACAGTGACTAGCCTCTCTGAAAGAGTTTGCTGTGAGTTTAAGGCCAACTCAGTGTCTCAAGAGGTAAATCCCTCAATCCCTAAGTTGAGTGGTATTTCAGAAACGATGAGTCAGTGCTCAGAAGTCAGTCGGTATGAATTTACTTCTTTGTGTGTGAAAATTAGTGCTGGCAAAAGGGATCTCTGGCTGCCAGGAGTCTGGAAATCCAGCACAGACAAAGGCAGGGCAGAGTGCTTTGATGTTACTTCCTGGGGTTAGATCTCACTTTCCCTTCAGTAGCCTCCAAAAGGGGACAGCAGCTCAGGCTGGGATGTCCATCAATGTCTACTGGGGCCTCCCTGATAAAGCTGGTTCCCCCAACAGACAGGGTGTGGGAATCCATAAAATCAGAAGGTTTTGGGAAAGCTGCAAAATTCAGTCCTCAGAGACAGCAGAACTGTGATTAGAGCTAAGCAGTAGCCATAAGATTGGTCAGCAGAGAAATTATATAAGTAGAAAAGTAAGGACAAATAGAACAATGGTCTGTGTATTAACACTTACCTAGAATAACTCCCTATGCTGTAGAAAAGTACATCTAGTGAGATGTTAGGAAGTTCTAAGCTTAATTACGGAGCTGTGTGGATTGTGTTTTAAGGCTTATAAGCAGGTATTGTATTCAAAATAAGCTAAGCATTGTTTTAACCAAAAGTACATGTGCTTATAGTGGTTGGATAGAACTTCTGTCAATATGCTTTTGCTTTGTGTGATTGGTCAAAAAAGTTTTAAAGTGAGCTGTAACATTAAGTTCTTGGTCTGCTGCCTGGGATGTGAGCTGCTGGCATCTTCCCATTGTCATGACCACGTAATGAGACTGATGCTGGAAAATAAAACAGCTCAAGACACGTTCCTAGCAGTCCTGTCCTGTTCATGATTTGTACATCCAGGCCAGCAATAACAGGGCAGGTCTTTCCCAAATGCTCCAGGTACCTTGATCTCCGCCAGGCAGCCAAAAACATCCATGTTGGCCTGGAAGGAGGAGGCAGAGGTGATTTTTGCTGTTCACTGGCACAGCATGAACACCTGAGAGTGGCAGCTTAAAACCCAATATTTGGCTTTTCCTTGCTTGGGCCGAGGACATTTCCGTGTCTTTTTTGACAAGTCATTTTCGACTTCTTGGTGCGCGTCTGACTGTGGGCTCCTTGTGCTGTTGCAGAGGAGGAGCGAGCGATGCAGACCCTGCCCGTGGACCGCGAGAGGGGCACGCGGGAGCTGCCTCAGGCTCCATCCAAGCCCACCCCGAAGCAGCTGCGGGTGCAGCAGCGGCCGCTGCCCCCTCAGCCCCAGGAGCCGCCGCAGCCGCGGCCCCAGCCACGGCCCCGCGCCCAGCCACGGACTCCCAACCCGCCGAGACAGAGGCCCTGAGCAGACAGCCTGGGAGGAGGGATGCTGGACTCTCTGCTCCACCATTCACTGGGAAAAGAAAGTTTGTTCCAGCCAGGAGCCCCTCCTGCCCAGCCCTGCGTAACGCTCAGCTGTGAAAAGGCGGCTTGCCTTGCAGAAAATTAGAGAGAGCACCAAGTGGAGGCGAGGAGACTCAAGGTGATGAGCATTCATCCCTGTGGCCATTTTTCCATCATGTTGGGATATGGATATGGAGCACTGAGCCCTGAAACCTGTTTCTTTCTGTGGTTCACTTGCTTTCACTGCACCTTGTTGTCTTTGGGCTTTTTGGATGGTTTTCACAAAGAAGAAGCCAAAGCTCTACTTGGACAAAATGGACCTATGGATCTTACAGGGTTTCATCTCCTGCTACACATTAGGACAGCTATCTGGCTTCAGCATCAAATACGTGGCCTCCTGGTCTAAAAAAATGGTTGTATGTAATTAAATATTTGAAGTTGAAAAGATTTGTGCTGTATAATGCAGAGAAGAAAATATTGAAAGGACGTGTGAGAACCTTGAAGGACCTGTGTGGGAAAAACACAAATGGGAAAGGGAGAACTTTCCCCTTTTCTCCCTTTCCCTTTCTCCACTGTGTTTAGAAAAGAAACTGTAGGCTTGAATTGCAGCAAGGGAGAGTTAGGTCAGAATTTTATTTTTCTTTTTAATGAAACACTGAGAGAGATTTCTGGGAGAGGTCCTCCAGCACTGGGGTTTCAAAGGGTGGATGAGACAACATTCTGTGAAGCTTTGTGTCCTGACAAGGGCCAGGAGAATGTGCTACACAGCCTCTTCAGGGACAGTTTCAGCTGAGTTTTCTGTGACTTCCAGGCAAATAAAACAAACCTTTATTCTCAGCAAAAGTCTGTGGGGCTATCCAGACAAATTTTTTTTTTGCCTAGAAGAGGTCTGGTCTCCTTTGGCTTGTGAAACAAAGCATTATAAACTGCCAACCAGCAGGATTACTGGTGGCACTGTCTGAATTGTCAGGGTTCACATGCCAGGGCCTCCTGCTGAGGGTGAGGGACTGTGCTTCTCGATTTTGCTGGTAACACCTCAGGTATAACCAGGGCATGATAGAGAGCTGCTGAGAGATCTGCATCCCCAAGGCAGAAGTTGGACTGCAATAAATGCACCTGCAACACCTCCCATGTGCTGGACACTGCTTGCTCCTCTGGGCCTTGGGGTTATCCATAAGTGCATCTACAGGATAGCTGAGGAGCTGGGAGCACAGGCCTTTTTTAGAGCAGTGTCTGCATGGGTACACTGACCCATCTGGGGTAAAAAGCAAGGCAGGTGAAGGAGGAGAGAGCTACAAGAGCCACAGAGCACAAGAGACATCCAGCCAGCTAGCTGGTGTGTCAGGCAGAAGAACACCCAGTACCTCTTTCAGGCTGGCCTATCTCACATGTGCCAGGGGAGATAAAACAGCCATGCTTTGTTTCTCCTGAGAAATATGACTATTTTTATCTTCTGGTGTAAGGGCAAGGAGGCAACTTTTCAGGAAAAGGAAGCCTCTGCCTCCTCCAGAGCTCAGTCACTTCACTTGAACTCTGACAGAGGGAACAGCCCTGGGAGTGCCACTTGCTCTCTTGCCTTAGCTTTCTGCAGCTTTTGGGCAGATTTCTGGGCTTTTGCTATTTAAAATTGCATTTGGTAAATGTTTCATGGTTTATTTTGTAACATACCATACGCTATGTCCCTGTACTTAATAAAGAGAAGACTGGATGCAGAGGATCTTAGTTCACAGCTGTGCTGGTACCTCAGTATCTCACTTTGATACAAAGCGGGGCAACAACAACATTTTGGTCCCTGAGCCACAGAGGCAGGGTGCAGGAGGTGTCACACCATCCCTGGGAGGTGCTGGGGTGCCAGGAGCTGCTGGGCTCAGGCTCGTGTGGGTGAGCACAGCTGCTGTGCCTGTCCTGTGCTGCCAGGGATTTACTGGTGCAGCTCTGTGGTTACAGGTGTGGGGATCCTTTCTGAGAGAGAGGGGGCCTGAGAAAGAAGATTTATCCCTATTGGGTTGATTTACCCCAAAACACATTCCTTGGCAGGCAAGAAAATACTACTAGCACAGAGCATGCCTGTGCAATGCAAAGCTCACCAGGGCAAAACTTATTTTTTATTTACTCCTTTTATTTGATAGTCACCATTGTTTTTGTGATGTCTCATTCTACAAGTATTTTCCATTGCAGCACATCAGGAGCAAACGTGAGACATCACAAAAACAATGACTATCAATGCTCCATGACACATCCAGAAAAAATGCTGACTTATCAAAGAAGCACCAAGCAGAACTTAGTTTTTCTGAACGTGTGTCGTGGGACATTCAAATCTCGGGCTTTTATGCTGTAGTGGATGTTTCAGTTCTGGAAAATGAGCTGACATTGGGACCTAAGACACAACAGGATGTGCTTGGCTCTGGTGGTTCTTGCTGTAACCTTTCTTGGTTCTTTTGTAGACGCATCTACCACTGTGTCATGAGATGAAGTATTTTTTCCTACTCTTCTTAAAGGGGATGAGATGATCAATGCTGGCCTTGTCCTTTTCTGTCTGCTGCCTCATCCCCCTGTTTGAGAGCTGCAGTTTCTGCTGCCTGAGTGTTAGCAGGGATCAGTTTTGTGGGTGGCGTGCTCCAGAGCCAGTGCTGGAGGAAGGGGAGGGAGGCTCAGCGCCGTGACCAAAGCAGGTCTGTGGCTGTGCTGTGGTCCTGTAGCACTCACCAGATGGGCAGACTGAGCAGGCACCCAAAAGAGCAATGGCTGGTTCTGTAGAAGATACAAATCTTCCATCCCAGCACTAATCCTTGTGCAAACAGCAGTGCTTGCTGCCTAAACTTGGCCTTTCTAGTCAAGTAGCCAGAACCTGCTTGTACTTCTGTTGGCCTGTCCAGAGGGAGGTTCTCAGGCTTCTGGCACAGGCAGTGTGAGAGACAGCTAGATAATTTAACTTCTAAACTAAAACTCTGAGTAAAAAGTCAAGTAGGAAACCATAGCTAGTACAAGCCTTTCTTGGGATGTTCACCAAAATGATGCCATGGGGAAAAGACACTGATTTTGTCCTTATTCTGCAACAGATATTCAGGTGCTGCAGCTGATAATGTAATCATCAGGTCTGGCCTGAGGATTTTGGATAAGATCAGTTTGTAGTAGCTATCAAGCTCATGAGATACTGCAATCCTTGCTGTGGAAAGATAAGGGTTAATTGAAGGAGAGCACAGTAAGAGGCCCTGAGCCAATGAACTGGCATCCTGGTCTCCTCTGCCAGCCTCAGCTTGTTGGCAGAAGAGGAGTGCCAAACCCAGCCTTCTCAGTCCAGCAAAGTACTCCTTCCCTCCCTGCAGAAGGGACTTTGCCACAGCACCTTTTCTCATCCTTCCAGCCTGGCTGCCTTGAGCCATGGATCAGCAGAAGCATGGCAGCCTTTCCCTCTCTCAGAGGTGCAGCTTCAGCCTTTACCCTTTCAGAGAGGTGCCAGGCCAGCTGCTTGAGGGCCTCTGAAATGCCCCTTGGCTCTGCTACAGCCCCCTCCCCAGAACTGCTCTTCCTTTGTGAGGGGGAGTTGCTTTCTCCCTAGGAACAGCAGGGACACAGGTGAAGGAGTTTTCCCAAAGCAGGACATGGCTGCTGCTCCCCTGGACCTTCTGGTGGAGCTGGGAAGGTGTAAAAAGGAGCTGTGAGCAGAAAAGGGCAGGCATGTGAGGAGCTACCTCACATAGTGATCAGTGAAACATCTGCCAGCTACTGCCCAGGGCTTCCAGGCTGGGCTTCAGGGGCAGGGATCAGCTGAGCTGGCCCAGGGAATAAGCCAGGCTTTGTGCATGGGCATACAGGACAACAGGGCAGGCGAAGAGGGAGGGCAGGCACAGAAATGGCTGCTTGAGAAGATGAGCTGGACGACCAGGAAGCAGGATTTGAGTCACATAACTGACTGTCTCACTCTCAGTCTGGGGTGTGGCTTTTCTTTCTGTGCAGAGCTCCCCTCTGAAGTGTGATTTACCCTTCGGGCAGGGGCATGAGCTGCCTGCATTGCTGGCCTCCTGCTTCCCCCTCGTTTTTTCATCTGAGGACCAGCTGCCTTGTTCTCACCTCCTGTGACACTTCCCACAATTACTGCCTATTCTAGTTTTCCTTTTCTACAAAATGCCCACTCTGGAGGGTTTATTCTTCCTCTTTGAATGACACCTCAGGGCTCCACCTATGCACAACTCAGCCTAAGGGAGGAAAGGGGACTTCCAAGGTGTCTTCATGGCTTCAGAGCATGGTTCCTCATGATTATGCCTGCCCTGAGAAACCCCTCTCCGGGTTGCTTTGCTCTTGGCTGCCTTTGCCAGTGCTGTCAGGAATGATTCCTGGCTCTGGAAGGAACCTCTTGGCTGCCTTCTGCCACGGAAAGTGCACAGCCTGGGCCTGTTCCCCTTTCTGAGTCTCACTGGGCATGTGGTTAATGCTGGGCACGGAGCCCACGGTGCTGTGAAGCCCTGCTAAGGCAGTGTTTGATCCTGCCCACCTGCTGTCACCAGCACTGACCCCAGTGAGGTGGCAGAGCCTCGCCTGCCTTTGGTTTGGGTGCTATTGTTCGACAGTTTCTGCCTCGGGTGCATCTGAAACGAAGTTTTGAGATAACAGGAAGAGATAACGCCACAACAGAGATGCTCATTGGTTGTGTTCCCCACACACTCCTTCTGCCTACATAAAAACAGCAGGCAAGTGTTTCTGGCTGCTGCCTGGCCTCCCACACAAATGCCTGCTTTCATTTCCAGCCCTTTGCTGTGGCATGGGCAGGTGAACGAGCACGGTGTGGAGGCAGAGGGGTGCGAGGAGAGACGCGCTCGGTGCGGTCACTGCTGCCCACTGAGGGGAACAGCTCTGAAACAGCACTGCCTGCAGGCATCCCCAGGCTGCATTTCCCTGTTTGCCACTCCCTGGCTCAGCAGCAGTGAAATGGGGACAGGCAGTAGGGCATTTGGACAACTGGCC